TGTCTGAGGGGCTCTGTCACAGACAGAAGTTTGTGGGCTTGAACAAACTCTGAGGGACTACGATTTTACGCACAAGCAGCTCATCATCCCATCACAGTGACCCTTGACAAATTACACCTGAAGGAATGTGGCTCTCAGTAGCTAAAGGTTGCCCATCCCTATCACATGACTTGCAAGTGTCACTAGACCAGCACACCTGTGCTCCCAAAGTCTACTGCCTACAAACACTTTAGTAATGCCCAACCCACACCAACAAGGATGCCATTTTATGCTGTAATGCTTAATGGGGTTCAGTAAACAGTAGCATTCAAATAAATAATATTATGATCATTATTGGACAGGGCTTGTATTTCAGTGACAGAAGACAAGCTTTTAATACAAAAGCTTCCAGGTTCAGTTCTCTGCATCTTCAGTTAAAGGTAGAAAAGACCTCCATCAAAGACCTACAAGGGCTTCTTTCAAGCAGCTAGTGCCAATTTCCTGATGTTAGTAAATGAAATATCAACTTTGGGTCAATATAATTATTTGAAACTGACAGTCTGCATGACTATGTCAAACCATATACACTTTTGGGAACACTGTAATTATAACATGCATTGTTATAAAAAATGGCAGCTTTATTATCAATATAAGTTTGTAAGGTTTTTAAAAATAATTTATTTCTATGTATGTAATGAATTATTTCAACAACAATAATAACTTGTGTAATGCAATCTAATGGTTGAGGTAACCTTCAAACCCAGAACCTCTTGGTTTATTATTTAATGCCTACCCAATGCAATGTCAGCTTTTAGTATTCTTGGGAAAATCGAGTGTCCTGATGTTTGTCTCATTCACTTATATCAAGCAGACTCTTGTTTTGAATGTATAAATAGGAGATAATTTTTTACATCTTGGTCTTTGCAGCTTTGCAATTTGCACAAATAAAATTCAGAGGTTTCTCTCCTCTGGCAATGGGAATGTAGAAAAGCTTAGTTCTTTCCTCTTCAAAGCAATGTAGTAGCTATGCAAAAGCAAACATTAGAATGCAGCGTTCTGATTGATTAGACTGAACCATAAAAACAGTCTTCCTTACCTTTCCTGCAGTCGCCATGTGTCCAGATCTGGCTTTAAGTTTTGCCACAAGCTTGCTCCGTTACAAAGGACTTCTCTACTTGTTTATCACTCCTTGCCTAAAGCAAGAATGTAGAGATACACAAACAACTATTTCCTCCACCACACACATAATGTATAATCTATGATAGGCCAGGGTCCATTTCTAGCTGGGATTCAAAGTTCTTTTGTTCCTGGCAAGTATTTAGCTGAAATTAATTCCCCCTGGAGCTACCATCTAAAGTAAACTAACATTACGAGCTAGGACAATATTGGATCTAAAAAGAAAAAGGTCAGTTCAGGTACAGACATTCTGACTAAAAACTTGTACATACAAGTGAAAATCATTCTGGCCCATGTTCTCTTGCCCAAATTATTTAGAATAGAGCATAATCACACACAATGCTTTTTACTCAGATGCCAGAGGCACACACTTTTTACTAATGCATAAAGGAGGGAGTGCAGAAGCCGTTAGGGTTGAAAACTGGGAAAGAAATTCTATTACAGGTTATTGAAGAACAGGCAAATCCTCACTTTTGCGTGATCGCGCATACACACAGCACCAGGAAATAATTAAACAATTTATTTCGTAGCCAGAAATGTCGTGAGACACCTAGAGAGTCCTTATGGTTTTCTGCGTGCCCTCCAGCCTCCTGCAGGCTCCAGAGCTCCCAATTCCTGTTGTGGGATTTACCAGAAGGAAACTAGTGTATTTTCTTTTGTGTGTTCTTCTCCTACCCAGTGCAGGTGCCTGAGGGTTATTTGAAGAGCTTAATAAACAGTTGAAGTTCACATTTCAAGTGGTTTTTACAAGGGAAGCCAAAAACTTGAAGATAAGCCATAGGCGCCGACTCCATGGGGCCTGAGGGGGCCCGAGCCCCCTCAAAAATTTTATTGGGGGGGCTCTGCCCCCCCAATAATTTAAGAAAATTATTGGGCGCGCGCAGCGGAAACGTCCTCCGCCGGTGACGTCACCCGGGCCTTGGGGAAAAGGCGCTGCGGGAGTCGCCGCCGCCGCGGCGGGGCCGCTGCAGAAGGGTGAGTGGCGAGGGCGGGACGGGGCCGCGCACTCCTTTCCTCGGCTGCCCTCGTCGCGCGCCTTGGCTCCCGCGGCCGGCGAGGGGAGCCCGGGCCGCGCGCGGCTGCTGCTGCCGCCGCCGCCTCTCCTGGGCGGGAACGCTGCGGGTGCGCGAAGGAGGAGGGCGGCCCCCGGGGGCTGGGAGAGCCGGGCTGCCGTGGCCAAGAGGGCTGCTCTGCCGGGCGCCGCTGACATTGGAACTTAGAAAACTTCCCGGGGCAGGACCCCGGTATGGGCCCCCCCCATATTTTTTATAAGTCGGCGCCCCTGGATAAGCCTTGATCTGGTTTCTGCCCTATAGGAGAATATGGACTTCCAGATTGCAAAGATCACTGCATTTGGCAGAACTGATGTTTGCCATATAACCACCGAAATTGCTGTTATATGTTTATCACATCCACCCTCCAGGGATTCAGGCAGTAAATTGCCTCTCTCCCATGTTATCTTCACAACCTTGTCCTGTAAGGATATTAGGCTGAATGGCAGGGCAGAGTGTAGTGATTGCCTCAGGTGGCATATGTTGAGGGATGGGGAGCTGACAGTGCAGAGAGAGTCGTGAGCCCTACCCTTTGATCTTTAAACTAGCTGCTCTCAGGTGTGGTGAACTCAGTCCCATTGTCAATGCTGAAGTAAGGATCAACCAGCCTGGTTGGCTTTTGTATCAAGAACCAATCTGCTATCACTGGTCAAACTCTTGTCTTAGACCCCTCTTTAGCTCTGTGGCCTATGGAAACAACCTTAAATCCCAAGGTCAAAACAAAACATTAGTATGGTTGTCATTAGTGGCTGCGAGAATGAGAGTGGCTCGGCTTTGGAAATCTTCTACTCCCCTTTTGCAAACAGTTTGGCTCTAGTACTCTCAGAGTAGCTCAGCCACCACTGAGGAGTGCTTTGGGTATGGTATCAATTCATCTACTTATATAAATAAAATTGTGGGAGTGCTCCACCCTCCTGTCACTCACATGTCAATGTGGAGATTTTATCTTGGTGTAGATTAACAAAATTAAATTGTGCTTATGATGTGCTTATATTGATCTGTTTTGTGCTGCAAGTCTGTGTCAGCTCTGCAAACTGCACCAATGCTTTGGAAAGCGGTTATTTGCTTTTATCCTTCTGTATGTTTTGAGATAAATAAATTTAAAAAGAGAACCAATTTGGACTTAAGGATAGTTCCCCCCCCCCCAGGACATTCTGGCAACAGATTTTCTGCAGAGCTTTCATTTATCGCTAGCAAAAGACAAATCAACATAACATTCAAATGAAGCGAATGAAGTCTGTTTTGAAAAACAATTCCAATTTGGACTTCAAACCGCCTTTGGGCTTCCAAGCATGAATTAACATTTTTCATTGTGTATTCTGCACAATTTCCTCTGAAGTTTATCACTCATAGATCTTTCATGCTCTTCCACTCAAGAATTCCAAGTGGCGCTGTGGGTTAAACCACAGAGCTTAGGGCTTGCCGATCAGAAGGTCGGCAGTTCGAATCCCCGCAACGGGGTGAGCTCCTGCTGCTCGGTCCCTGCTCCTGCCAACCTAGCAGTTCGAAAGCATGTCAAAGTGCAAGTAGATAAATAGGTACCACTCCGGCGGGAAGGTAAACAGCGTTTCTGTGCGCTGCTCTGGTTCGCCAGAAGCGGCTTAGTCATGCTGGCCACACGACCCGGAAGCTGTACGCCGGCTCCCTCGGCCAATAAAGTGAGATGAGTGCCACAACCCCAGAGTTGTCTGCGACTGGACCTAATGGTCAGGGGTCCCTTTACCTTTAGTGGCCCAAACAAACAAGAACTATATCTTTATTCCTTGATCAACTGTCCTCAAGCAGTGCTTGAAGTGTGAGAAACAAGGAAGTGGGTAGATTTCTTTCAGATCAGATCAAACAAAAGCCTTTGTCAGATGTTTCCACCACCTTTCCATTACCTTCTTGTGAGGAAGGGCAGCGGTAAGCTCCCAGGTCTCACCACCTTCCATCAGTTACCACTCTTGCAGATCTCCACATGTTGAAGGCTGAACTTCTGCCGTGAGAAAACCTGCTCTACCAGGTTTAGAAACCATCAGGGTTTTATACTGCAAAAGGAGTCTATGAGAGTATGTGAAGGGAATGCTTGTCTTTTGCCTGATTCTCCTTGTGCTTCTCCCTGTCTTTGCTCCCCTCAAGATCCCCCCAAAATCCTTAGATCAGTTTAACATATGGAAAATAATCTAGCCCAAACCCCTGCAATACAGGAATATGCAGTTGTCTCATACAGGGATCGAACTAATGGTGCATTATCAGCACAATGTTCTAACCAACTGAGCTAAATTGTATTGAATCAGAATGAACTGTGGAAACCTCCTGCACAGGACAAAGTCTGATGCTGTTTACACTTGTACTATTTATAATTGAGATTGCTGGCTGAACTTGGCAGTATATCATGCACCGGTCCTGTGGTGGGCAAAGAGTTGTTGATTTAGTCATAAAATATTGTGCTCTTTACACAGTAGAGACCCGGCAGGGGCTAATGCATCAATAAGATAAGGAATATGAGCAGCAATAAAGTATATTAATATTAATTTAGATAAAATTGGTGCACACACCTATACTTAATGACTTTGACGCATTTGCTAATGTTTACTAATTATTTACTAATTGTAAGAATTGTATAAAAGACTTGGGAGATTTCTCTGTTCAGGTTTTGGGTTTTGACCTGGGGGTACTGTCCTGCTGCAGGAGAATAAAACAAATAATTTCCAGGGTACATCCTGGAAGCCTTGCTGGTTTACTTGTGGTCTTGCCTGATTATTTAAGATAGCTAAAATCCTGCCTAGGATGAGCTGAATTTGCGTTGTTGTTGTTTTAAGGTTGCAGAATGATGCAGGAACAGGATAGGAGAGTTATGAACAAACTCATAAGAAACAGATCTAGACTGATCTTTCCATCCCTAGATAACGGCTTTCTGTTGGCTAATTTAAATCAGCTCTGGGTGCTGAGAAATTGTATGTTTTGTTTTCTGTGTATGGTTTAGATTTGAGAGCATGATTTGGGATCTCTAAGCATCCAGAGGGAAGTGAAACCAGATCACTGTCGTGAACCATGTTATGTTTGTTTGTATAATTTCCACTCCCATAATAAAATGTATGAAAGGCACTTCATGTCATTTGCCAGCAATTTTTATAGTGTATTTGTTTTTGTTGGTTTTTAAAAAGCAACCACATTTGGAAGAGAGAGAATTCTTTCTGAGACGTTCCAGACTGAAGGCATCTGGGAAGCTTCGGCAAGCCAGCAACTCAAAACACCAAGACAATACGAATGCTGAAAGAGGAAAAAGTAGAGATAACTTTGCAAATCCTTTTGCTGAAAAAGCAATGAAGCAGAGTTTATTTTTGGACCCTCATGTGATCATTAATTTTTTGTTCAACATACTGCTGGACAGATGTTGCTGGCAACTTGGTGCTGAGGAGAGGGAGAGAAACATGATTGCCATTCTTGCAGTCTGCTTCCAGTAGTACAGTATCCAATATCCAACAGCATTTCGGCGAGGTGGCAAATCTTATCTTGTTATGTGGCGACATGTGACGGAGAACTAGCACCTTAGATAACTGGCACCCTAAGATAAGCTTACTGAGTTTTCATACACCACATAGATATATTTTTATATGTGTTTGTGGTACAGAGCAATCCAAATCCCCTTTGCACCAAGTATGGTGGGGAGGGATTAATTGGGATACCAAGATGAAGGTCTACCAGGCTTGTGTGTCAAGCACGCTGCTTTATGTAAGTGAGCCATAACTTACAACCATCAGCAGCAACCTTGTAATGCCTTACACATGCACTGTGTCAGGAGGATTTGGGGTAAAAAGGTAAAGAAAAAACCACCGGATGGTTAAGTCCAGTCAAAGGCAACTATGGGGTTGCAGCACTCATCTCACTTTCAGGCCGAGGGAGCCGGCGTTTGTCCACAGACAGCTTTCTGGGTCATGTGGCATGACTAAACTGCTTCTGGCGCAACAGAATACCATGACGGAAACCAGAGCACATGGATACACCGTTTACCTTCCCTCTGCAGCGGTACCCATTTATCTACTTGGACTGGCATGCTTTCAAACTGCTAGGTTGGCAGGAGTTGGGACAGAGCAACGGGAGCTCACCCCGTAGCGCAGATTTGAACCGCTGACCTTCAGATTGGCAAGCCCAAGAGGCTCAGTGGTTTAGACCGCAGCGCCACCAGCATTCCTGGATTTTCAGTACCACATGGCAGGACAGAGTTTCAAACAAAGGTGTGCTCTCCCAAGCCCACATTCCCAGCATGTTTGCACTCCTGTCTCAGCGACGTCTACGCTGGCTTGACCATGTCCACAGAATGGAAGGTGGCTGGATCCCCAAGAGCGTGCTCTATGGGGTTCAGGCACTAGGCCCATGGGCAGACCAACTCTGCATTACATAGATGTCTGTAGATGTGACATGAAGGCTGGTAACATCTACCCCACCATGTGGGAATCCCTTGCAGATGACTGCAGTGCCTGCAGACAAGTTGTGTATCCACAGCAGTGTCCAGAGGAGGAATGAGCTCTGGGAGGAGCAGAGAGAGAAGAAACACCACAGTGCATCTGCAACAGCACAACTGGATGCCTTCATCTACCCCTGCTGCAACTAAACATGTCTCTACAGCCACAGCAGGTGCTGTAACCTTCCGAAAATTTAACTTCACCCCCAAAGGTGCATTCTTCCACTGTCTCCTGAGACAGACAGATACCATTCCTCTGCCCACTGCCAAGGCCATTGACGGTGGGGTAATGCCAGCATTACTTTGCTGCTGCAGATCTGTGGTCAGAGGGGGTGAGGCATATTTGACAATGAGACTTTAGAGTGCTCACAGAGTTGTTGCAATCACTAGAGCAGGACAAACCTTGTATGCCTCCCTTGGGGGAAGAGATTTATAAAAATGCACCTAAGTCAATAGAGCATCTCCCAGGCCCCTTCCAGCTCTATAGCTCTAGTGGTATAAGCCAAAGGGTTTCTGGTCTACCTGGGAGGGTTGAGATCAGGGTTTTATTGAAGTGGGTCTTCCAATGCCCAGGTGTGACTTAGCCACATTGTCCTATAAATCTCAAAATACTCTTAATTCCCAAGTAGTGATTGGTGCCAATCCCTTCTTCTCAGACAAATCTCCAGAAGGCCAGTTCCTCAGAATGTCAGTGGCTTTAAAGAAAATTCTGCAACAGAAAGAAAAGAAGTTCTGCAAGTACCAATAAGTCACAAATCTCACCTCTTCCCTGCATGAAGCAAATCAAATCCTTCGCTGATCTTGCTGAATGGCAAGGTGTGGGTTATTAAAATATCTGGCTTAAATTTCCCCTCCATGTAACTGGATACCAGCTGAGGGACAGAATCTTTCATCTTCCATCCTGGAGAAGCAACAAAACAGCAGTTGGAAGCAGCAATACTTCTGAATACCAGTCTCTGGAAACCACGGGAAGGAAGAGTACTCTTGCATTCAAATGGTTTCCAACAGGCATCCAGTTGGCCACTGTGAGAACAGAATGTTGGACGAGACAGCCATTGGGCTCATCTTATGTTATCATGCTAAGCACCACGACCCACACAATGTTTATCACCCAGAATTTTTTTTCATGCCGTAAAAATGACTCAGCAATACAAGGCTTGTGATATTCTCAAGGTCTTATAAAGCCTAAGATAGGGCAAGAGGACAGTCAGAAAACACGTGGGTTGCAACTGCTTATTCTTTTAAGAAAATAAAGGGCAGCAGCAACCAGTCTTTAAAACAAAATTTGGTTCTGGCAGCAACCCATACTGCAGCTCCCACTTCTAGTCCAGGAATTCTTACAGATACACAGCTGTAGCTGGTATAGCGAGACTGAGCTACCCTCCAAACACCAAAATTGCTGCAGCTTATCTGGACAGGGCTAGGATGGGACAGGCAGGCAATGGCAAGGGGTGTGTAGGCCGAGTGGAATGATGGCCGAGAAGGAAAGGGTTAAACAGCCTCCCTTCCCTGCCTGAGAAGGTAGTAGGTGGAGAGATTCACATCTGCACATGCATTCTTTATTACACCAATTCAACATTTCAGCCCCTTTCCAGGGCCAATTCTAAGTGCAGAGTTTAATTTTTAACACCCTACACGGCTTGTGACTGCAGTATCTAAAGGAATGCCTGTATATGGATTTTTAAAAAATGTTTAATGTTTTATTCTGTTTTTATACAGTACATGTTGGAAGCCACCCAGTGTGGCTGGGACAACCCTGTCAGATGGGCAGGGTACAAATAAAATACTAATACTAATAAGTACGAATCCATGCCCTGAGATCACCATCAGGTGTCGTTCTCTGTGTGTCTCTGCAAAGAAGTGGGCAGCAGTATTTACCTGAACTCCATCTGCTTGTGTGAAGTGAGAAGACAAGGCCAATATGGTGCAAATGCACCAGTGGGAATGCTGGATTGGCTCCACTGGTGTATATGCATCATGCTGACCTGATTCCTCCTACTGAACCTCCCAGTAAGCAGCAGTGATGTGACCAGCTGGAGGTCAGGTGAGCTCTACTACCCTACAATGTCCCCTTCTTTCACGCTTTAAAGATCTTCTAGGGAGGCCCTTCTTGCCAATCTATCCCTGGGTGGAAGCACACTGATCAGTCACCTGGGAAAGGACTGTCTTAGTAGTGGCACATAGACATTTCTTCACAGTTATGAAACAACTTCATGACCTATTCAGGGTTTCACAGTACTAAACACAGGAACTGGGAAATGTCCATACATCAACATGCTTGCTCATTCATGGTGCATCATCATACCTCCAATGAAGCTCCCTTTCAAGGTGCGTCCTGTAAAAAGCAGCATAGGATCGAAGGAGAGCCTAGAGCCTAAAGGAGGCACACCAACCATCACGCAGACTCCGCAGCCCATGTGACAGGACGCTAGAGCAGCTGTCTAATGGAAGTAGGGGGGGAAATTGAACAGGTTGCTGTCATGCAAAGGAACAGGGACATTTTATGATGCACTGCAAAATAGTTAATGGAGAATAATGAAGTAGGGGTTGTTGTTGCTTCATCATGGGTGTTTATGAACCATCTCTTTCATCTTACAAATCATCAATACAAATCAATCAACATTCTAGGAATGCCAGGGATCCTGGGAACAATATGGACTGCTTCAGATGAAACATAAAACCATGGTTTTGTGCTACATGCACAAGTCTTTATGAACTCTTGGGCTTGTGAATTGAATTGCCACCTCTTCCCTTTGTGTGCTACAATTCCCCTTTTCCTGGTTTGTTGAGCACTAATTGCACGTTGAAATTTCTTCCAAACTGGCGAACTATGGTTATCAAATTGCAGATTGGAGCCAGAAATCTTTTGACTAAAAACAATACATACCAACGTATCCAAACACCCAACAACCTCAAATGCATAGTCAACACCATGATCTGTCATTTCAACCAGCACTTCCTGAATTGGCTTCTTGTAATCCAGAGGATTAAGGCATTCTGTGGCTCCCAATTCTTTCGCTGTTACAAATTTGTCTTTGTTAATGTCGATCCCAATGATCTGCGAAGCTCCAGCTGCTTTGCATCCCATGACCACAGAAAGACCAACTCCTCCCAAACCGAAGACAGCACAGGAGGAACCTGGCGTGACCTATAGAGCCATGGAGAAAAGAGGACCAGGATAAATTCCAGTTGTGGAATAGGGTAATGTAGGTCATATTTCCAACGGAAGAAGCTCATGTCTATTACACAGACCAAAAGAGTCTACCAAGGAACACAGGATTCCTCACCTGGGCTGTATTGAGGGCAGCCCCATAGCCGGTGGAAAATCCACAGCCGAAAAGACAGACTTTATCCAGAGGGGCACCGTCATCAATTTTAACAACGGTTGAGTCAGGCATGACTGTATATTCTGAGAAAGTGCTGATCCAAAGGAAGTGGTGAACTAACTTCCCCTGGCAGGTGAATCGGCTGGTTTTGTCTGGCATTAGATTCTGTGGCTCAAGAAGGCTGTTTCAAAGAGATTGGGATATGTCAATAACAAAAAGCTGTTCTGCATATTGCCGAAACAGAAATACAGGAGAAATTTCCAGAGCAACTCACTGGGTTTTTAGGCAACAGTTGGTGTTAGGCTTCAAGCATGAGGCGCATTCTCCGCACTGAGGCAGACAAAGAGGGATAACTTTGTCTCCTAGAAATAAAAGAGGCATAAAAATATAGTAGATAGAAACAACCTAACAAAGGGAGTCTGCATCCATAACCAGTGCTCAGTGAAGGGAGTGAGCTATGTATCAAAATACTGTGACCACATCATCACAAGGCTCTTTTTGCTACAACAAAGACTGAATAGCCACTCATTAGCAAATGCTCCAGCCTGCTGTCCACTTCAGCCTATTATTCACTCCTTGGAATAAAGTGGCAAAACTTCTTCTGGCACATACGACTTCAGGCTGCAGCAGGTAGTTCTACATCGGGAGTGGGGAACCTACGGCCCTCCAGAAATTCTTGGACTCCAAATCCCATCAGCCCCAGCCAGCACAGCCAGTGGCCAGGAATCATGGGAGCTGCTGGAGCAAGGCACCCTCGCACCCTCCCATCAGCTGCTGGGCAGTAGGCGCATGCCTTGCTCAAGAGAGGAAAGTGGTTTCCATTGGAAGTGGTTTCCATTCCATGCTGGCTTGAGCCAATGGCAGTTGTAGTCCATTAGGGCATTAGGTTGGTGGAGGCTGCAATAGGGACTAGGGCGTTAAGTCAGTCCTTTTAAATTGGCACTGCCTGCATATTGACACACATCCTTTACTCAATGTTATTGTTCAGAAAAAGTTAATTTAAAAAAGAGCCTACAGTCCAGAGAGGAAGAGGCACTAACGTAGTGGAAACATTCAAAGATTAGTGCTGGTTCACCAGGGATAATCTCAAATACAATAAGAGTTACTTGGGCAAGCATAGATTTTACCACAACTGTGCATTGTTAAATTATGCTGTGGTGCTTTAGAAAGATATTGATAATACATCTAAAATCCTTTTATGTACCTGGCTTCATGCAAGTCACTCCTTCACCTATGCTCTCTACAATTCCAGCTCCTTCGTGCCCAGGAATGACAGGATAATTGACTTTAGGGAAAGAGCCTGTCAGAACATGGTCATCAGTTCCACATATCCCTGTGGCTATTACCTGTAAGAGAAAAAAGTGCATTTCTTTGACTTTCCCTGTGCTCTATTCTATATTCTGTTTACTCCAGCCCAGCTTTTGACACCCTTCAACGTGTGGTGTCTGCGGCCAACAGGAGTTGTAAACCGAAACACCTGGTGAACATCAGGATGGTGAAGGATGCTCTACTCCAAAGACTTCTTGGGTTTCCATTTGCAGTGATTTACAGCATAATATTAAGGTTGGAGTTAGGGATAGTGTAATGGAAGTGAAAGGCACCAACGTAATACAGATCAAATTCCTATTGAACATCAGGAAGGACTTTCTAACAGCAGTGGGATGGACTCCCTCAGGAGGTTGTGGGCTCTCCTTACTTGGAGGTTTTAAAGCAGAGATTGGATGGCCAACTGTCATGAGATTCCTGCATTGCAGGGTGTTGGAATGGGTGACCCTAGGAGTATCTTCCAACCACACAATTCTATGATTCTATGAAATTTAGCATCACCTTGCAATCATTTCAAAGTTATCAGGTAAGACACAAAGTGCTATGGTCACTGTGCTCTGTAGGAGAGGACCTGTGATAACATCCCAGCAGGAGGTCGGTTCCATACAATGCAGGAACCGGGCCTTTAGGGTGGTGGCACCTTCCTTTTGGAACTCCTTCCCCCTATAAATCAGAAAAACACCAACTCTATTGCATTTTCAGTGACTATTGTAGACCTTCCTTTTCCAACAAGAATTTTAAGTGATGTTCTTCTATATTTATTCTTATTCCTACTTATATACTGCTTGAAACGATGCAATCTAAGCAGTGATATATGACTTTATAGTTAAATCACTTGGTGCTGTCTTATTGGAAGTGTTTTGCAAATCAAACAAATAAACACATTTATGATCAGCAGCAGCATCAAATTAAACTGGAATGAAAACTCCATACTTCTCTTAGCTTACCCATCACTACCACTGCTGACTCACAAGCGTAATAAAATCTGCACGGCCATTTCAGAAACAGCTGGAGAAACAGAGCAACAACAGACACAAGTCGTACATTGATAGGAAAAATTATCCACATAGCGGAGGAGCATGGAAAAGGCCACAAACAATTCATCTACCTTAACACGAACTTCGTGAGCTTTTGGAGGGGCAACTTCCACCTCTTCAATAGAAAGCGGCTTCCCTACTGCCCAGGCGACAGCAGCCTTGCATTTTATAGTCTGTAAAAACAAGGGAACAATGAGATGCTCAATCCAATCCCAGGGCAGGGCAAAAAGGAGATGGGATTGGATGAAAGTGTATAGTTGCAGGTTGTAGCCTAAATGGAATCTTGTTTGGTGCAGCAGATGGGACTTTGTGAAAGGAAAATCAGAGAGAAGCTGCTGTGGTGGGTTCATCTTCTACTTCAGTGGGGAATGTAAAAGTATAGTGTCCATCTCCAGGGTGTAACCTGGTATCTCAATATAGGCCTAGTACAGAAGCTGGGAGTTGTAGTTAAGCAACATCTGGGAGTCGCAATACTCTTTCTTGCATTTTCTCATTGAGAGAAAATTGGGGGTGGGGGGGGTGGAGATGCATTTCTTTGCCACAAGAAATACAACCACGAGCACTGTACTGAGACAGACTCTTGCTCCATCTTGCTCACTTTCATCTGCTACACGAGGGGTGATGTTCTCCATTTTTTGCCGTACTCCAATTCTCACCAGTCCCAGCCAACAGGGGCAATGGTTAAGGATGATAGGAGATGTAGTCCAACAATATCTGGAGGGCACCATGTTGGCTGCCCTGTACTGCATTGACTGGCAGTTCAGCCTTTGCCATACCGGGATAGTGCAGTTGGTAGAGCATGAGACTCTTAATCTCAGGGCTGTGGGATTGAGCCCCATGTTGGGCAAAATATTGAAGGGGGTTGGACTTGATGACCCTCATGGTCCCTTACAATTCTATGATTCTATCCCAGTGTTCTGTAGATCATTTGGACTACAATACAGAGAGCTGTAGTTCAAAACATCTCAAAACCCACTTTCGTTTTTTGTTTAAATTAACTGTTATTCCCCATTTTTAGGCTAAAATAAAACAGCAATATCTGGAGGGCACCATTTTTAGGCTGGGGAAGTTTCTTATACCTGTCTGCTAAGAAGTCCGGGAATGAAGCCTAAATCCTTGCACATGCAACTTCGTAAGACACGTAAAGGTTGCGGTTTAAATGCAATTATTTTTTGATCACGCAATTGTGATCATGCAATTCTGCACGCAGCTACTTCCCCCTTTTCATCCGCTTCCACAGCCAGAACCTTGGAGCAATCAAAGCTTCAAACCCTAACGTGACCAGGAACCATGAAATGCAAGTGGAAGCATGCTTACTCGGAAGTAAGACCTACTGAGTTTAATGACACTTACTCCTGAGGAGGTGTGCAAGGGCGGGATTGCAACTTTATGAAAGGGTAATCCTTCAGCGCACAATCCGAACCGTGTCTACTCAGAAGTAAGACCTATTGAATTCAGAGGAGCTTACTCCCAGGTGAATAGGGCTTGGATGGGCTTGCAGCCTTTCGATATGAAAGAGAAACTGCTGTCTTCTTACTTTCCCAGGAGTGTCCATGCTCGCGCGCTCCTTTGCGCACAGAAATCTGCTCGCCTCTTTTGCACAGCTCCTCCGATTCCGAGTTTGGAAAGCGGAAACAGCGACTAACCCCGATCTCTACTTGGGTGCGTGTTTCTCGTGGGAACCTTGAGATTCCTTTAGAACAAAAACGTAGCGGAATGGGGCCACGTCTCTTAAACTGGCCTCTCTGTCTGCCGTAGACCTACCGCCAGGGACTCTGGGGGATGTAGTCTATAGCTTAGCCAGTAGACGCAGATCCAGCGCTTTTCCTAAAATGCCTCAAACTTCCCTGAATAGGGAAGCGTATTTGAGAAGATGCGCGCCAATGGTGAGAGGTAACAGGCAGAAGGCGGGGACGAATATTTGCGCAGGTTTGCACTCCTGGTCTTTGTTTTGCCAGACACGTGTTATTTTAACCTCTGCACGGTTTTATTATTTTATTGGGAAAGATCCCTCTGTTTGCATGCTTCATATATTATCTGTTTCATCCTGTGTTCCAAGGATAGGTGCTAAAGGAGTTATAAAAATAAACGATGCTTAAAGATAGTATCTGCAATATGACGCTGTTTTGTGGTGAATAAAATTTGATGATGGTTTTGTTCACACACTACACTGAAAACAAGTACAAGCTGTCTCTACATATCCACAAGCCTTTGTGTGAAAAAAGTGTCCTCTTGTCTGACGTTGCATGGGATGGGAACAAGAACAAATGCAGGCTGTGCCCTCTTTGCTAGATCCACATTGAAAACTTGGGGAGTAGGGAATCAGGGTGGAATTAGCCCCAAAGCCTCAGCCCCATGATCATTGCAGCAGTGGGGTGCAAATTAGCTTCCTGGGTGGGGGGAATGCAAACTATACATAAACTCTGCTAGCATAAGAAGTGCAGGTAAAGGTACGGGCCAGTCTTGACAGACTCTAGGGTTGTGCGCTCATCTCACTCTATAGGCCTGGAGCCAGCGCTGTCCGCAGACACTTCCGGGTCACGTGGCCAGTGTGACGAAGCTACTCTGGCGAGCCAGAGCCGCACACGGAAACACCGTTTACCTTCCCGCTAATAAGTGGTCCCTATTTATCTACTTGCACCCGGGGGTGCTTTCGAACTGCTAGGTTGGCAGGCGCTTGGACTGAACTACGGGAGCGCACCCCGCCATGGGGATTCGAACCGCCGACCATGTGATTGGCAAGTCCTAGGCGCTGAGGTTTTACCCACAGCGCCACCCACGTCCCATAAGAAGTGCAGATCACACCAAATACATGCCTAGCCTGACATCCTCTTCCCCAAAGCATCCCAGATGCTTATGGGAATCCCAGCAGCAACGCATTAGGGCAATAGACCTCTGTCTTGGTTGTTCCCCAGTGATGGGAGTTCAGAAGCCTCCTTTCTCTGATCCTGAATTTAGCATGTAGCCATTCTGACAAGTAGCCACTGAGTCTAAATCTTCCATCAATTTGTCTAATCCCTTTTCAAAGCAGTCTATAACCATCTATATAGAAATGAATGCACAGGAGGCAAACATTTTTTGACAAGGTGTAGCAAGAGGTGGCAGCCTCACTTGGGTAGGTTCTCGTTCTATTTATTATTTTTTCCTTGGCAATAAGAGAAGTTTGGTGGGCAAGGCATGGTCTTTAGTTGGCTCGCTGATACTTGTTTGTGTGCGCGAGGCAGGGGGATTATTGGGTCAGTGCATTTCGCCATCACTTTCCTAATCGCAAAAAAGGCCATTTAAAAATAAAATAAAGTTGATTTGTTGCACTAGGGTGACAGAGGGATTTCATTCATGGGACAAACAAACTGATGCTGATAATCAGCCCTAGGAAATGAGTGGCAATGCCAAGTATATTTGGTGACTCCATCTTGCTCCATCTATAGGAAAACTCGCAGCTGCAAGGCACCAGGGAATGGGATTGTATTTCTATGCAAATTGTGGGAGCATGGATATGAATTGGGGCCATAGTAGAGAGCAAAGGGTTATTGCCCCCTTGGCCACATATTAGGGTCCCAAACCAGATGGGTATCCCTAGAAGAGCAACTTGAATAGAAAAAAAATCCAGTTCTTTATCGAGTATGAATTATTGTCAAGTTCGGCCCTCAGAGTATTACACAATTTTTGCAAATTCTCAGAATGCTTAAAATACAACACACACAGAGAGAAACATATGTTTCTGATCAACCCCTGAGTTCTCTTGCCCCTTTTTGGGGTGGAGGGTGCTGTGAGGAGAAAGATGGTTTTCCAGAAGAAACATACTTTCCCTCAGAAACAGAAAGAAAAACACACCATTTTGGTCACAAATGATTCTGGGGTTAAGTATCTTGATTACTTTCACCTTGAGGGAAGGAGCTGCATATATTCTTATGGATTGGGTGCCAATAAGAAATACTATACATTGTGAACCGACAAGCTGGAATGATAACATCAACATTGCAAAGCGGTATTGTATTTTTCTTGTTAGTTAGGAAGTTGAACCGCCTCAAAAGAGCAAATATTAATGCAAACAAAGCAAGGCCATTTGTATGGGTCCTGGCAAGAACAAATATGACTAGAGGGTGAGGCTTATTCCAAACTGAGCAAGAGGTGTAATAACTGTAGGAAGGCTAAGTCAAACTTCATGTGAACTGTTCCTTAAGCCAGAGATGGGGAACAAATGACCCCTCAGATGTTGTGGGAACACAACTCCTATCATTCTTCACAAGGGCTGGGGGAGAAATTTTAAGTTCATATTTAAAGCCAAGTGTATCAATTTGATATATTTTGAAATTCACATTTACCCAAATTTTGTGATAAGCTCTACAACCTACCAATGCCTGCAAGAATGCATATTGCAAGTCTGGGGTAATCGAGTTTAGGGGGTGCAAGAGCACTTATAATGGCTAGAGTTAGTGAATGTTAGCAATTGCTAAATGGTAGAATTTAGATGACCCTAAAGACCCTGATGCTGGGAAAGATGGAGGGCACAAGGAGAAGGGGACGACAGGGGACGAGATGGTTGGATAGTGTTCTCGAAGCTACCAGCATGAGTTTGACCAAACTGCGGGAGGCAGTGGAAGACGGGAGTGCATGGCGTGTTCTGGTCCAGGGGGTCACGAAGAGTCGCACACGACTAAACGACTAAACGACAACAGAATTTAGATAATATTGGGAGTATTGAAGAGAAGATGTCAGGCTAGTGGAAAAAATACAAGCTAAACTCCCTTTCCAAGCCAGGGCCTCACCCAGGATAAAAACAACACAGGGGCACACATTCCCAACATCCCCAGCCGTGCTTGGCCCTGCCTTCTTCACCCTGGACCTTTGTGTGTTCATCATGAAGGTCTGAAAGAAGATTCTAAGGACATTCAGCTAAATACCCTTAAAAACATTCCTATGATCAGCATGCCTGACAATGTGAGACTCCAGAACATGTGGGGAAAATGCTAAGGGCATTTAGCTGAATGTGCTTACTCTCCTTTCAGAATGCCGGGGTATAGAAGTTATGCCCTTACGCATTTGGGTAGGTGTCTGAAGAGACTCTATACAATAGGGTTTGAAATAGTTACATTTCCTAACCAATGAAGCACATCTCATGAGACCTTCGGGTATAGGGCGGTATAGAAAATAAATAAATAACATAAATAAATAATATAGGCCTCACTAAAGTTTTTTAAAAAAACCTTTTGATAGGTTTTAGGATTATCTCAGTTATTTCTTACTGTTTATACTTTTATTGATTCGTCCAAAATGGCGACGAAGGTAGCAGCCTAGTTAACCTCGTCTGCCTTTAGATAAAGTTTTAAGTAGTTTTAAGTAGTTTTAAGTAGTTTTTTCAAACCCTTTGGGGGTTTATCTTTTAATTCTAATGATTTAGTGGCTGCACTATCTCCTCAACACTGCCTCCGCTTTTCTTAGCATTAGCGTTTTATTGTTTTATTGTTTTATCACCGGACTCGAGCTTTAGCCTTGCTGCCTTGTCGCACCCCCCGCCGTACTTTGGTGCTGTGGAGCTGAGTAATCTCCTGAAACGAGTGAGAGGGGAAGGAAAAGAGGCCTGGCCTGACTCCCCCGTCGTGAAGGGACCCCCGTCACTGGGAAAGGAAAAACTCAAGGTGGGTGATCGGAAACACCGTAAAATGGGGTTGAAACAAGTCCCCTTCCGAGTCCTGCCGGAATGAGTAAGAGCGTCTTCAGCAAATTAGGCTGATAAGAGGCGCAGCTTGGAAAAACCCCCAGCTTCTATCAGCTTCTATCAGTAAAAGGAAACTGGGAGCCGACGGAAGAACTCTCAAGCTTTCCTCCCTTCCTTCCCTTTCCAACCCCACCAAAGCTGCCTTAATAACTCACGGATAGTATTCCCTCTTGGGACTGATAGTTTCTCTCCCTCGAAGCTCCGGAGCAGCACGCACAAATGACCTGCATGAAGGTGGCTGTTAGACTCTGGAACAGATCCTGAGACCCAAGCACCTTATTAAAACCTATACCCTACAACAGAAGAGCCATTTCTTTCTCCTCTTTTTCCTCTTTGTTCAGCAAGGCAGTTTTTTAATTCCGCTCTTTTACTGCATTAGCGCTTCAACATTTTTATTACTTTTTACCTTTTTACCTCCTGGCACCTTTTTACCTTCTGGTACCTATATTTATGCAGAGAAACATATTGAGACTCAGTGCTCGCTGACGAGCTAAGCAGGAGAAAGCTGCAGATACACCCCTACTCTACCACCGGCCCTGCAAATTAGGAAGAAACACTTGGGGACAACTGGCTCTCTAATTGGAAGACAACTACCCAACTACCCAACATGGTCCTCACCAGAAAGATATGTAAGGAGTTGGGTATTTTGCCAGAATCGTCACTCAACCCCCCGGGACCTGGAAAGAGACAAAGTAAAATTATAAATTATTTCCCTAAGAGGGAGGAGCGCATGAGTGAACAAACTGAACTAATTATTGATGAAGTCACTCCTCCCCCCCTTACTCATCCTGACTGGTCACACTACTCCAAAGAGTTTCAACAAAACTCTGGAAACACAAGCTTTCCAAGAAGCTTGGCGCTAGAACTAGCCCTAGCGGAGAAACCTGAGGAAAATGTTTCTGTCATCAATAATCAGCGGCCTCCGGCAGAATTAACAACATTCCATCAAGACCAGACGCCCACTTTTAAGTATACTCAAACTGAACTGAGTGATGGCCTCTTTCAGGCCCACCTCCAAGACATAAATACAGACCTTTCCAACATAAA